TAAGTTTCCTCTACACCGCCTTTTCCTTTTAACACGGCCTGCGAGTATTAAATTTTCAAAGTCGACTTTCCTCCTAACCTGTTGTATAAATGTCATCTCTAACTGAATTTCAATGTGTATCCTTGAACTTCCCATTTTCTACCACGTCACTCACATGTTCTGTCCATAGTATTCACATCATCCATCTATATTACTCTTACTTTAACTTTTCTACTTCATATGTAAGAGAATTGTCCAGTATTTATTGAGCTACTGGAGGATAGACATGACAGCAGAGTCTAACAGTCGTTTCATTGGTTCTAACAGCGTCGTCTCTTCTATGTGTCGTGCTTCTTCAGAACTTAGGCAATCATGGCTCCCAAGAGATTCCTATTACTTGTGACCTTGAGCAGTTTCTCTCTTTGACAGGCCTTTTGCTCTTGTTCCGTTATCCATTCACAAAGTCCTATCAGGTAAGTGACCGAATCCTTTCCGAATCTCTCTGGTCCTCGATATGCCCTTTGAGGGTCAAGGTTTCCAAACAGTTTCTTCCTCGTGATGTGTCTAAGTAACTTTAGCTGTTTTCTTTCTGATTCTGAGTATGTCTTCTTTTTGTTGTCATTTTCTTTAAGACTTCCTCGTTGATTAATCACTACTGAATTCTCAGCATCCTTCTGTAGAACCAGAGGTTTTTTTTTTTTTTTTAGCTTTTGGAATGCATCTTGCGTTAATCCAATGTGTGCTCGGTTTATGGTGTCTAATATTACCCAAATAACTTTCTACATCTGTCTATATTTCTGACATATGATATTGTAACTATTTACACTATTGAAATTGTTCGAACTGTTGTCCTCGCCTTCTTTCTCATATTCACTACGTTTCGACCGTTATACACTCCAACCTTCTTCAGGTGATATATGTTGGAATTTCGATCCGAACTCTTTATTTCGTCCACTGGGGCAGATTCTTATAGTTTCAGCATTCTCAGTGGATAAAAGTAATCGAATAATTTGACCCAGAGTTGTGAGTTCAATACCCGGCCACAGCAGAGGCGATCAAGATGTTGGATAGTTGAGTTACTGAGGAGAAATAACTGAAACTGAAATATCCAGAAAAGGCATGGCACGTGGAACTAGAACAATCTACCCCAGTGGACGAAATAAAGATTTCGGTTCGTAATTCCAGCGTATATCACCTGAACAAGGCTGGAGCGTACAACAGCTGCAACGTATAAAGATGACAACAGCACGAACAATGTAAATAGTGTAAATTAATTTCCTGTAGTTGCTTTATTTTGGTGTATTCAATTCGGAGTTCATTGTCTCTGAGTTCGCTTTGAGCAGAGTGTTGTCCGTGTATATTATGGTATGAACGCCGATATTAAATCCTGGAAGGACATCTAGTTGTCTTAGGAGCGTCTGTGTGTTTTTATAAGATTTTTTTTAATTCTCTCCGGAATAAACTTGCTTCGTATACTTCCCGTTCATTTGACTGTTCTTTTTTTTTTGTGTGTGTGGTGTTGTTTTTCGTTTATTTTTGGTTTGGTTTGGTCTGTTTTCCTTCTGTGTATTCTGCTGCAACTTCTAATCTTCCATTTCCGTTATAGTTTTTCTTTAAGTCTCTTGACAACAGTGATGGCGCAAAACTTAATACTGACAGGAACTCTTCGTCCACATTTTCTTCTTTTTTTTTTCTTTTTTAATGTTATTATATTTAACAATAACAGCTGCAGCAGCAGCAGCAACAGTATCAACTATACGATTGGAATCAATTGTTTCTTTTTCCCGCTTTTCTCCTTTTGCTAAATAAATACATAAACTTCGCAAATAAACACAGCTGAATGTTTTTCGTAAGATACAAACAGTTTCTCTTTGTTTCTGAATATAATAAATCATTTCTGATTTCCAATGTAAACTTTTATCTTTTCGCGAACAATTATTAAGAAAGCATCAAAGACAAAATAATAAATAAATTCTCATTAAATGATTTTTTTTTCTTTTTGTACAAACGATTCCAAAATTTAACGATGACCTCGTCATGAATTCTTTGTTTAGCTGCTTAAATATTTATGACGTCAAGCAATAAAATTGTGAAATATATTTGAAATGTAAAGAGATGAAACTGACTTAATGTGTAGAGAATTACAATCAATGATCAAATGAAAATGATATTCCATAGAAGTAATACAGGATTTTCCTCCTGCTCACCAAAAGTCGAAACTCTCTAAGAAATATTTCGCAAGCAAGGAGAGAGCGTAAAACGAAGAATTTAGCATTAATGGCTGATAACCACCAAAGGAGTGACTCATTGCTCCTCATCGAGTCAATGTTTTCCGTTGACATGAAGTAGAAAGATTATATTGAGTCAATTGCTAAAAATGCTGCTAGAAATGTTGGGCCACTGTGTCGTCTTAGACAATTTTTCTTTTTTCTTGCCAGAATCTATCTTAAAATTTTTTGGTCTATCACTCATCCATGCATTGAATATTACTGCCACATCTGGTCTGGTAATTATGCTATGTATTTAGAGATTATTGATAAAATACAAATAATCTGCAATGCTATTGGTCTTGTCCTGGCATTCCGGCTTCAATCACTTTCACAACACTGTACCATTTCTGTAAATGTTTTATGGTAATTGTCTTGATGAACTTTCCTCTATGATATCTAGACTTTATGAATTTAAGCGCAGTACTAGATTGGCGGTTAGGTCTCATCAATTCGGCATTGAATTGGCTAGATGTAACCGTAAGTTCTATGCTAACAGTTTCTTCTATCGGAACTTGTGAAACTTTCTCCCGGCTTCTTGCTTCCTAGTCAGCTTTCAAAATTTAAATGCAATGTCAATCTTTCTTCTGCCGTCTTACCTCCTGTTATTTAATTTTACTATCCTCAATATTTTTTTTTTTTTTACATTCAGTAACCTCTTGGATCTTAGCGGCTTTATTGCCTTGCTTAGGGTGAAAAATGAAAGAGAATGGAAAGACTTTAGAAATAACTGAAATCCAATCCTAAACAGGAAACCAGGGATAAACCTCTACTTCTGTTCAAAAGACTAGGGAGGTGTGTGAACCGGGCGAAAACGTTCGAGTTACCATATGAGCAGCCAGCAACTAAGTTAAAGTGTTTGATGCGTAAATTTCATTCTTTTAAAACAATATATTACCATCATCAACAAATGATACATTATCTTGTATTAGAATATTCATGAAATATTTTATCATTGGTTATTTTCGGAATGGTTATACTGTAAATATGTGACGCTTAGTTCTTAGGCTAAGATCGAAAGGAGGGTCGCTAAATGAACTACTCCAGTAAGAGTTACAAAAAGTGGAAGAATATGGAGAGACGGGGGATACTAGGGTGATTCTTAGACGGCTCTCAGGGGAGTAAATAAACTACGATATTTGTCGATAATCTACAAAGCCGCACACAATATTGGTGGCAAAGGACCTCAACTATTTAATGGATAGATTTACAGCTATTACTCGCTATGGTATTTTCACAGAATCGAAACTCTCTTATTTCCACTATATTCCAATTGTAAGGATGAAGTTCCATTTTTTTTTTTATCGAAGGACAACTACTTGGTAGCTGTAAAAAACTGATCAAGAAAAATTCCAAAATTTTCTTTCAAATACTTATTTTCCCCAAGTAATTTCAATCTCATCTGATACGATATTCAGGGGGTTAAAATATCTGTGGATGTGCACGCAGTAGCTCCGTAAATTGAAAATATTTTTTCACTGTTCGTTTACAACGACGATTTTGACGAGACGGCTTACGTTTCACTTGAATAAGCATAGATCATCAAATATATATATATATATATATATATATATATATATATAAGACAGAGAGAGAGAGAGAGCTGTCTGCGTGCTATCTGTGGAGTTAGCCTTCAAGACAGGATATCCAACCTGCTTAACAGGTGTAATATTGGGGGAATCGAGACTTTCCTCATACAGTCTCAGTTGCGGTGGACAGGTCATGTTTTGAGAATGTCTGATGACAGGATACCCAAGATCCTAATGTAAAGCCAGTAATGTAACACACCCATGGCTTAGATACAAAAACAAGCTGAAGAGTAACTTGTCAACTGTCAATATAACACATAACACCCTCGTGCGCTTTGTCTTGCAGCGGGTAGAGTGGAGATCAACATGATTTAGTGGACAGCAGTCTTCAAGAAGCGAGAGCAAGATCTAAAAGGTCAGCAAATCTAACAGTGACCTCATCCTACAATCCTCACTCTTGCTCTATATGCAGCCTCATTTGCGGGTCTTAAGTGCCACTTAAGATTATCGCACAATAATCATAACTGAATCAAATGTCAGATCCTAATACGTCAAAACCGACGGGAGAGTCCATTGTTATTATTATATACATAATAATCTTTGTGAGAGATAACGGACATGTAACGTATGTCAAGACTTTTGGAGGGTCTCTGATACATCAAGTGAATCTTAATGCACAAAACTTGTAAAGGAACTTGCCGAAATTGTGTGTTATAATCAAAGTACTTTCGACCATAACATAGCTACATGAACAAGGCTATCTTTTAACTTTCTACCTTTCTTCTTTGAAAACAAACGACCAACGATGGTCGAATGTATTCGAAGCACAGTACACATACAGTCCCTTTACAAATTTCCACCTGATATAAAACGCCCTATTTCTAACTCGGAGAAACCTTGAAAAAGGTTTACAAATTATTACATGATTGTACAATTGGATAGAACCTTTTTAAACATCTTATTTTGTCTACAGATGTTTAATTATGCATATATTTGTTTAAGATTTGCTATCTTTATTGAGGGAGATGTTCGTAATCAGAGATATAGCTTTTACAAGTATAGAGAATGTAGACATTTTTCTCCAAGCGCACAGGTATTACACTGATCCTCGCCATACTGAACGCGCATACTAATATCCTAGTCAAAAATGCGGATTCATACCTTGAATCCGAGTACTCTGTAGCACATCAAAAACACACATACACACATCATTTCCGGCATATGACATTGAAACACCGGTTCTCGTACGATCATCGAAGTTAAACAACGTCGAGCCTGATCAGTACTTAGATGGGTGACCGCTTGGGACTACCAGGTACTGTAAGCTTGGATGTGCAGGTGGTGTAATGGATTACGGCTAGGAATTTGAAACCAGAGAACTGAATTCCAATTCCAGGCAGTTTTGTTATATTCATTTACATGCAAATAACCTTGGGAAAGAAAATAACCCACCTCATCACCCCCACAGCTATGAGTTAATTAGTGAGAATGGTACACTATTTACATTATTCAGACTATTGTCCTTATCTTTGTCGCCATATTTATTACAACGTTTCGGCCGTTGTACGCTCCGGCCTTCTTCAGGTGGTTGGAATGTCGAACTGGACTCTTATATTTCGCTCACTGGGGTAGAAAAAATTTCAATATGAGAACTGGTAAAAAAATGACGCTGAAGACATTAGGTTTATAAAACTCAGAAATCTATACATAGATGCTCTCAAGGACATATGACACAGTGGATAAAGGCGTTAGTTAGATCCAGTGACAGAACACAAAGTGAGTGTGAGTTCAATACCTGGTTAAGGCAGAGGCGAATTAACAGGAGATAACTGACATCCATTAAACATGGCACGTGGAACTACCCCAGTGAGCGAAATAAAGGGTTTAGTTCGACATTCCAACCACTTGAAACGTTGTAATGTTTTCTCTGCTGTGCTAAACAATTTTTTGTCGCCAGAATCCAGTTTGCACATTTATAAATCTACCATCTGGGCCGTAAATATTGCTGCCAAACCTGATCTATTGCTCCTACTGAATATATCGAGATTCTTGACAATATCAAAAGTGTTTGTAATATTATCAGTCTTTACCCGGCATCTTGACTTCAGTCACTTTTCAATGACGTGTCTTCCTTCTGTCTCTCCTATATTTTCATGATCATTTTTTCCAATGAGATTTCCTGTTTGTTATCTCAACCTCATAACTTTAAGCGTACCATTAGATTGGCAACTAGGTCACATCGTTCTATTGTTGAGATAGCTAGATGTAACCGTAAATTCTATTCTCATAGTTTCTTTTCTCGCACATCTCAGCTGTGGCACTTCCCCCCCCCGTCACCTAGGATCTTCAAAAATTTAAATTCAACGTCACTCTTCCTGAATCCTTTTCTTTTATTTTCCTCTCTCCTAACTACCGTCTTCGCATTTTCTTTACCCCTGAATAATCCCTAGCGTCTTAATGGCACTATCGCCTAGCTTGGGTCGAAATGATTAAAAAAAAATGGAGTCTGAATAAGTATATATTTTTCTCACTTGTTTCACCGTCTTGTTGACACGATAAAAATTAAATTTGGTTTCAGGCCTTTTGTAGTGATAGCGCAGAGGTGATAAAAAACAGACGTTTCAACCATTAAATTTGTTTTACTTAACTACCGGTTTCTCAAAATTCTAATGTTTTCTAAATTGGTGGTTTAGGAAGACTCTGCCTGAGTTTCAAAGTTGTCGAGTCGAACGGAACACCTTGTTCAGTATTTGAGTTATGAAAGAAAAATAAAAAGATAGTTATTTACTGGGGCAAATAACAGCTGTAAACAATAGACAAAAGTTTACTTACATTGTTGTTTATTTAGTAAATAGGAAAAAAAAAGACTGTGTCGTTAGTTCTGAGTGTCGTCATTTGTATATTCCCCCTGGAAGGTTCTTGGACTGTTCACTGGAGAGGGTTACTGAATAAAGTGTGTGATATGACTGTAAGAGTGGAAACTGAAACCAGTATCGAGTCGCGAAAGGTCTGTTTCATGCTTGGGCAGTAATTTCTAATTATCGAATGATATTTGTTGTGTAGGAAACCTACCACCCCTCTTGAAGATGAACTTGTCTACAAACAAAGACGTTAAATAGTGGCATGTCAAAAGACAGAGAGAGTCGGAGAAGTTCTTGGCTGAGCTAGTTATAGACTACTCAGGCGATTTCTGTACCTACTTACCAACCGAATAAACCCCTTTTTATTGTTACGTGTTAGTTGGCGTTTGTCTCTACTAACCCCAAATCAACATCATAACAATATTGTATATATCAAGATCGATAGTGGCGGAAGCACTGGCCGAAGTGTATATTCTGTTGTTTTTGTTCAAGTACTTTCGACCGTCTCAGTCATTGTCAAGAACCGTGTACTGTCAGTGTGGTAGGTATGTTCTTTCTGTCATGTCCTCTTTAACCGTTATGCTTACCAGCACTTTTTACTGATTCAAACTTTCAGCTCTGTAAGAAATACCAGGGTATAGCCAACAAAATTTTGCATCGTGACATTTTCCACAGGCACACACACAAAAAAAGAAAAAAAAAAGAAAATATTTTACATAGATAAAGCCCTTCGTAAATTGTGGGCTATACTCGTGAGAACAATTTTTTGTATTTCTTTAAGGCATGAATTCCAGGAATCCTTTCAATTAGTCAACTGGAATCTTTTCCAACCAATCCTACAACAGATGTTCCCATATGCCACATTTTTAAGATTTCGATTTCAAGGTCCTTGTATTTTGATAACTTTTTGAAAATCTTTAAAGATACATTGCAGTCTGCAGGGACTTCCATATCAATAAGGAGGCACTTTTTTTGTTTGCGGTCTCTAATAACAGTGTCCTGATGGTGAGATCTGAATGTTCTGTCAGTGTGTATTGTGTAGTCCCATAGAATTGTAACAGGTCCTATCTCCGTAACCGGGTCTGGTTGGTGTTCATACCATTTTCTTTCAGTTTCCTTCCTGTAGAAGCTGCAGATTTTCCAGTGCAGATATTGGCCAACTCTTTCATGCCGGGTTTTATATTTAGTGGGTGCAAATAACGTGCAACCTGATACAAGATGATCAATTTTTTTTAATATTATTGATATTATTATTTCCTTTGATTTTCTGGTATTATTATTATTAATATTATTATTTCCTTTGATTTCTCTCCGGATCCTAACCAGACACCAAAGGTCAGTAATGGCGTCATAAAAAAAAAGGAAAGGATTTTTTTTTAAAAAAAAACTTATATTAAAATTTTAAATTTTCTTTTCCCTCTTTTAATATGAAATTCCTTCTAATCTTTTTTTCCTCTCCCTTTTGCATCGATAAATTGACTCCATTTATTAAAGTCTGAAGAGATTAATAGTTGTATATTCATGAAATAAATTATAACCGAATGGATTTCTAAGGATCGTCTGCACTTGCTTATATATATATCTATACACACACACACATATACATATATATATATACATATATATATATATATACACACACACACACACTTATATATATATATATATATATATATATATATATATTGAAAAGATTTTTATCTGATCTTATTTCTTGTTACTATAAACGTTATTTTTAGTGAGTATACTCCTGAATTGGTATCCCAGGTTTTATTTTATTAAAGTTAAATTAATAATAACAGAACTAAATTGAGATGTACCAAGGAAAAAAATTGCCTTCGACAGGAATCGAATCTATTTCACCTCTTTCCATCCGGAAATCCACAACCAAAGTGTTCCTCTACCTGTTCGACCACAGAGCCAGCCTGTCGGGATAAATTTTAAATTACCTATTAGCGAAAGAACGATTCTTGTTAGGACTTGTATGAATCTATATCTGCTAGCTTTAGTTTCGTATCCAGATACCCCTATTATGCTGACTCTGTGGCCAAACAGCTAGAGGCACATGTTAGGCTTGAAAAGTGATTTCTCTGATGAAACTACAAAAGGATCCAGGTTCGATTCCCGTCAGAATTTTTCTTCAAGAGGACTTCTCAATTTAGACCGGTCGTTAATAATTTCAATGTTTAATAAAATAAAACCTGGGATAGCAATTCCGTCGTATATTCAGTAAAAAATAACATTTATAATAAGAAGAACAAATATAGAATTAGACTTCGATCAAAATAAATTAAGCTCAATAAATATTTGCATGCTGCGCAGTGGTTTTAACGAGCTAACCTCACCAACCATAGCAAAATGCTTTGAATTATCTACGCATTAAGGGCTCTATTTTTGTAGCTTTTGGCTAAACTAAACCGAGGAAATATCGACATTTGATGCCTGCTGTGTTTAGCAAGCATGTCTACCAGTCCATCTATTAGTTCGGTTTATTTTGTTTACGACATATCAAGACCTCAATGGTGACAAGATTTTTGGGATAGGTTCGTATGAATAGAATATGTATTTGTAAAAAATCAGTTTGTAGCTTAGATTTCATTGACGTATTTTTGAATTTTTTTTTTTTTTTTGTCGAGAGTCAAATCTATTTCCTGTAATATTTTTTAAAAATGTATTTCTGGTATTTTTACTCTAAAAATCTATTTTTACACTTTCACAATGTTTTGATCTAAGTTTGGCCTTCAAGTATTTGCCCATAGCTTGGACCCTGGCAGGTGCTACCACCACGGATCAAGGTGAACTTGGTAACAACAGCAATTAAGAGATGGTTCTTTGCTCGTCAATCAGCTTCCAATCAGAAGCCTTCTTGCCGGATGTAGTTTATCGTCATATCCAGGATGTCATTTATTATTGCGTTCGATTCTCGACATTTTTCGCCTTGTACCAGACTAAACTTATTTTTCATAAAAAAATATACCGGATTTTTGCCGAAACAATATCAATTTTATTTTCTCTCTTAATCATTTCTCTATCCGCGGAAAGGTTGTCCAGACTTTAGGCTACGTAAAAACTCATCTGTTTCGATTTCTTATCATTGATCAATCTTCTCTATCTTTAGACAATTAGGACACGTAATGGTTATTTGATGAGAAAGTAACGTCACTTTGATGACGGCTCTTTCCATTTCTGGCTGAGATCCATAAGCTTTTCATATCTGATGATATTGGCCGCAGAATGAAAGTGAAAGGAAAAAAAAAACGCCAGTGGAAAACAAGGGAAAGATTACTTACTCCGATCTGAAACAGGTTTGGCGGGAGATATTTTTCCCCTCGGCTGATCGATGTCTGACAAGTGAGTCCGGATCGATGCTCAGTTTGTTGTCCATTAGCACCCCTCTCTTTTCTTTTCCTCTTGCGCTCAATCCAACCATACCTTCTCTCTTTTTCTCATTGTTTCAATCTTTTCATTCCCTCTTGGTGTTCTGTTCTCTCGAGTTAGCGGTTTAAGCTCATTAGAACTCAAGATATGCATTATGATAGCAGCAGCAGCAGCAGCTGACACATACAAGAGCGGCGAATTGAATGGATTAAGTAGAAACTTGTATACGATACTGACAATTTTGATATGTCTCTTCGCCTGAAATTTGTCCATGAATTGCAAATGAACAAAATATAACCTTTTTCATTCTTTGTTTGCCTGTCTTTAGGACATTTAATTTCTTGATAACAACACCTAGAAGGTATTATAAATGCTCTTCTTCTGACCGTGCCAATATGATCAAGGTGGTATTCCATAGATTTTTCAAACGATTGTCTTCATTTTTCCTGTTCCCAATACAATGTTTTCGAACTTTTTGTAGCTTTGAAAGTCGGAATAGAAGAATTTTAATTATCGAATGGATTTTTCTGGCCATTATCTTCATCTTTGTTGTTTACAGCATAAACTTATGATTGATATATTCTTTGATTTAATTCTGGAGAATAGTGTGTGCATAGACGTCATTTTTATTTTAATGATTCATTTTCCACGGTTTATCAACCCTTTGCAAGTTATTTAAAGCCAGAAAATATTTTTAGATTTTAAGAATTTTTTTTTGTAAAGATAATAATGGTTTAATGATTAATTAACTCATAGCTTGTGGGAGAAGAAGCTGATTCCTACCTTCCCCAATGGTATTTACGCGTGTGAATATAATGAACCTAATCGGAACTGGAACTCGGCTATCCGATTTCCGAATCTGAGCAGTTATCCATTACACCACCCGCACATCCAAGCTTACAGCACATGGTATTGCCAAGCGGTCATCTATCTACGTACTGACCAGGCTCGATGTTGCTTAACTTCGATGATCGTACGAGAACTAGTGTTTCAATGTGATTTGACCATAAGCTTTAGACGTCATTTCAGTCTTCTAAGCTGAAAGACAAGTTTCAGCACAGCAATTTTTTAAATGACGTCCCCCACCGATGACAACGTAGGCGATCATGACTCTCCACACACTCCTTTATTTTCATATCTATGTATTGATATGGCTTCTTGGAAAAGAAAACGTCACGGTTTCCCGTTGCCATCTCCACAGTTTAGAATTGAGAGTAAACTTTCTCTTAGATTAGCTAAAGGACCTATTCTGAGGAAGGAAGAATTGGATTCATGCCTTTCCCAGCGGTATTGGTGCGAAAGAGAACGCAGCATGCTAGGTTGTAATTTGAACTCTGCTTGCTTTTTTCGCGATTTTGAATTCGACTTAGTCCTACTCCTAGACTGGTTGCCATCCAAGGCTAGAGAGTCTAATTCTTTAACCCATTGCTAGAGGGAAAGAAGAGATAAACTCACGCCTTTCCCAAGGATATTCGTGCGAAAGGGAACAAATAGACGAGGCAGGGACTCGATCTCTTCTTGCTGATTCCATTTACTGCACCGATAACAGTTATGCTAAACGCCCACATCCCCCAGAACTTGCCTAAAAAGCAGCCGCTTCACCACGGCAATTTATTCTCCTCCTGAAATATGGAAACTGATAAACCGATGTGGTTTCGCTGACGTTCTTCAATACAAAAGTTCAAACCATTATCAAGACTGCTAATATTTAAATATCACAAAAGAAGAGATGGGTTTTTGAATCATAGATGTTTTTTATAACTTTAAACGTACAGTAACCATGTGCACTGAAAACGGTGCCTGCCGTAGAACAATGTTCAAAATCTGATGTGCTCAGTTTTCACTGCGCACATGACTCTTAACTTGGGCAAAGTGAAATTAGCTTATTACACATACCCGTTTAACCCGTAAATGGCCACCGTGCCAAAAAAATTGATCGGTGAACATTAATGGGTTCTTGGTAGAAACCTGTAAATAATAATAGATTTCTATAAAGTCTATAAACTGATAATACCTACCAGAATTTTTTTTTTCCCTAATAACCGATTTTTATAAGCCTATAATTAATACAGGATACATTTATTTTAATTTTTATAATTCATTCTGAATTTTACGGTGAGCATTTTTCTTCTGTATGTCGAGTCCTTTTATAACATAGAAAACCATAGCTCTCCACAACTTCCTATCCTGTATGGATCTTATCAATTTTCTTCTTTCTTAAAACTTCCACACACCCCATTCACATAAGTTAATCAATTAAGTACCTCGTTGCCTTCCCTTATCTCTGTTGCCCTCAATATGCCCCGTGAGGGTTAAGTTTTCTAAACCCTCCTTCCTTGTTATGTGTCCAAATAATTTTAGCTGTCTATTCTGATTCTGAATAGAAGTGTTATTTTCGTAGCCATTTTCTTTAAGACTTGGTGCTTAGTCGTTCGGTTCATGGAATTTTCAGTACCCTCATTTCTGCCGACTCCAGATATTCACCT